ATTTAAATGGACAAAGTATGATCCAATTTATTAAAGACATTTTTTAAATGTTTAACATTTTTTTATAGATACAAGTATTTTTAGTAAATGCTCTGTTTCTATAAACCTCTAAATAACATTTACCGGCATGAATGTCGAAAATTTTCATAAAAGGATTCGTTGACGATTCGAACCTGCATCCGGAACCGAGAGGTTAGTCTAACGTCAAGCCAAAATGACGGTTCCGCTGGATGCAGGTTAGAAACGTCAAAGGATGAATATTTTCTATGAAAATGTCTCGGACATTCAGGCCGGTAAATGTTATTTAATACTGTTTATATATATATATATATATATATATATATATATATATATAGGATTCGGAGGTTTTTGTATATTGTTTGCGACGATGGATTTCTCGCCAATTAAATCATTAACCTTTGCATTTGTTTTTGTGTGAATAATTCATGAATTTGTAAATTGATTGCATGTTTATCGAAATTAAAATAACTGATCCAAGTGCGACTTTTGGATAATAAGTGCGACATTACTGTAATTATTGAACAATATAGTTCATGCCACTTTGACAGAAAATTTACCAGTAAAATTCGTTCATCACCATATTTGTACATGAACGCACAACTGTAAAATTTTAAAATCAAACTCAGCGTTGCTATTGCACGCTCAAAAACAATAACTCATTTCCAATAGCATTTTCGGATACAACAATACATATATTTTCGTTGTCCTCTTATTACTAAAGAAAAACAAGAACAACATCTATTCCATACCTGAAGATGTCTGTAGGAACAGACGAAAGCTTGCAGTAAAAAATAAGAACTAATGCGGCAGAAATTTATGGAAACAAGGATCTTTTCATTCATAACGGATTCGGAGGTTTTTTGTATATTATTTGAATTGTTTGCGACGATGGATTTCTCGCCAATTAAATCATTAACCTTTGCATTTGTTTTTTGTGTGAATAATTCATGAATATATATATATATATATATATATATATATATATATATATATATATATATATATATATATATATATTGCTCTCTATCTCTATTCATATCTATCATACTTGAAAGAATTTTGTGTCCAAAGCTAAGTTTCAGATACTTGATGGAAGATGACTGATGGTTGATTTTCCAACGAAATTAAAACCCGTAAGCAAATACAAAATAAAATTTACTTACAACCACATGACCGATAAATAGCAGTTGATTTGTCAGAGAACAATTTTCAGAATAATGAAATATTTGTCTGATGCCGATTTATTCTCCACCATTTTCTGACCCTGTCAGCAAAAAACTGAAATGATGCAATTGACTTCAAAATTTGCGATATAAAGTGCGATAAATTTCTCTGATCGATTATTAATTAACGTCTCAACCATTTCATTGATTTACTCTTCTGTTTTTAAAATGACTAACGCTTAACGTATTAATATCGAGTGTTTTTTTTTTCTTTTTATTCCTTCATTTATTTATTTATTTTAATACCTGCTTGTGATGCGACTTCCTGGTACATATAGACGGAGACATTGAGTCCTTTACAATTGAGGCATACCGACAAAATGTCTAAGAGACAAGTCGGGAAAGGGATTAGCAAACAGACCGAACGACAATAGGCGGCCATCTTAGTAATTTAGACTTGCGCGCTCTGTTATTATAAAAGATGATGACGATTAGATTCAAGCCTTGAGGGAGAAAAATGATATGTCGCATTTCTTAGATTAGACATCTTTTATTTCTTTTTCTTTTATTATTATTATTGACTTACCTATTTATTGTTCCTTCCTTTCTTTCTTTCTTTTTTTTTTTTTTTTTGGCTCATCTCTTCTCATTTCTCTCCCTCTTGTTCTTTTTTCTTTCTTTCTCTCGTACTTTCTCTTTCTCTCTTCTGTTTTTTCCCCCAACCCTTTCTTCTTTCATCATGTTTTTCTTTTCATTTTTGTTATTATATTTTTTCTGATTGCGTACTTTTGTCTTTTATATGCAAAATCTATTAAGGGCGTGAGGGATCATGGCTCTCCACATCTTCCTATCTTTTTGTTGTTCTGAGTAACTTTTGATTGTTACCATCTCTTTTTGTTCATGTTCTACTATCTATTTGCAAAAAACTCGTTAATTAGGAATCCCTCTGCTCCTCTTGCTTTCAAAAGACTTACAGCCATATCACGTTGAAACACCATTTCTTGTACGATCATCGAAGTTAAACAATGGGTGATGACTTGCGATTACCAAATGCTGTAATTTTGGATGTATGTATGGTAACTGATAACGGCTCAGATTTGGAAATCGGAAAGCTGTGTTACCAATTTCAGTCTGATTCGTTATGCCTAAATAGCCTTTGGAAAGGTATGAATTCACCTCTTCACCCCATCTATGGGTTAATTAGTAGGAACTGTATCATTAAATCGTTACTATCTCAAAAACCTGTTACAATCTAAAAATATTTTCTGGCTTTAAATAACCCGCAAAAGGTTGGTAAGCCGTAAAAAACAAATTAGTCAATCAATAAAAAATCTTTCCTTTGAAATGTCTTGTATGCTAAATTCTCATCTTCTTTATGTGTCCCAGAAATTTCAGCTGTCTTTTTCTGAGTGTAAGAATAAGTTTTGTATGGTCCCGATGAGCCCGAAATGCGATTCAAAAGTCGGGGACACTAAAATCAAGCATGTGCGGAAGTTTAAATATCTGGGAAGTGTTTTAAAGGAGGACGGTAGGTGCGACGGTGAGATCCGAAGACGGATTGGAATCGCCAAGGACGCATTCGAAAAGTTGGACAGAGTTCTGCGAGACAGAAGGATTTCTTTGGTGACAAAGAAACGACTACTGAGCTGCTACGTGACATTTGTCCTCCTTTACGGCAGCGAGTGTTGGGCGGTCTCCTCAAAGATGAAGAACAGACTCGAGGCGACGGAGATGTAGTTCTACAGAAGGATGCTAAGGATATCATGGAACGAGTGTGTGAGCAACGGTGAGGTCATGGAAAGGATGCAAACAAGAAGGAAGCTTATACTTAACATAAAGAGGAGGTAGATGAAATTTCTAGGACACGTAATGAGAAAGGAGGGCCTGGAGAATCTGATACTCACAGGTCGAATAGAGGGAAAACAAGACAAGGGAAAGCAACGCATGACATACCTGGAGGGCTTAAGCAATTGGATGGCAGAACGTGGTCTGGGCGGGGGGGGGTTGGCAGAGGCACGAAATTTATTGAGAGCCACAAGAGGAAGATAGTGGGAAGTGGAGAGCCATGATCGCCTACGTCCTGAAAGGACACCGCACATAAAGGTTAAGAAAGTTGTTCCTATTCTCCTCAAGACTTCCGCGTTACTCAGATGTTCTACCCATGTTATTCTTAGTGCCCGTAGACAAATCTACTTTCTTTGGTAGTTTCTTCATTGTTTCCATCCCATAATTTTTCTCTATTGTTCTACCTTTTTTTTACTTTCCTGTCTTTTTCTACCATTTTTCCCTTTCTTCGTTTTATAACCAGTTACTTTCCACCCTTTTTTTATTTCGCCTCTAAATACTTTCATTTCTTTTAGCATTTCGTCTCATCCACACTCTCCCGCACCCGGCTAAGCACTGATAGTTTTATTTGCCCTGTTTTGCCCTCTGTACTATTTGCTTAACGTCTGCTTACAGGGTAAGAAGATTTCCTCTTTGTTTTCATGTAATCTTTGTATCAAAATGGCTGCTGGACGATAATAGTTAAACAGCGACCGGCAGGCAGGTCGGTTTTCGCCCAGATCAGATAGATGCCTTGAAAAGGAGTTGGAAGGCTGTAGAAAGAAAGAAATTGAATAGGGGAAGGAAATTGGAGACGGCGAAAAAGAAAGCAAAGATAAGAGAATAGACAGAAAATTAAAAGGAATAGACGAACGCAGGATTACAGGGGAAAATGAACGAAGGAAAACAGAAGGAAAGAAAAAGGGAAGGAAAGAAGGATAAATGAAAAAAAAAAACAAGGAAGAAACATAGCAAAGAAGAATAAGAAGAAAAAATTGAGAAAGAAAATGGAAGAAAAAGTGGGCAATATACAAAAGAAAAAAAAACTGAAGAAAAGTTCATGAAAACCGGTTTGATGGTAACAAAATGATCAAATTCGTTTTGGCACCTACTCGAATTAATTTCAAAGATCAAAGTGACTAAGAGTCCATGAACTTATACTCACATATATACACATGTGGAGTAATGGAGAGCGGCTTTGATTGAGGAATCGGAGAGCCGAGTTCGAATTCCAGTCGAATCCATTACATTCACTTACGTGCTAATAAATACCCTTGGGAAAGGTATGAATCCTCTTCTCCCCACCAGCTATGGGTAAATAGCAGGACAGACAGAGTTTTATAGTCTTGGATGGCAACTGGACTACCACAGAAAGAAATGGCAACCTACTGCGGGAAAAATACATGATCGCCTAAGCATGTATCATGCATGGCACATAACTGACTAACATTCACTCACACATTCGTACAGTTGTTTTTAGAGCGTAGCTCAGTTGTAAACCGCATTCATTCTAGCGAACCATTTCTCATTTCCTTCGTATTCCATTAGTGAGAAGCTCCACTCGAACAGCTTCTTCCCATGAACCGCTACACCTTGAAAGCAACTCCCAATACGATGCTTCCCTGACCACCACAGTTTTAACCTATTCAAGTCTCCATTGTAAGAGTTATCTTTTCCACATATGCTCATAAACTCCTGTCTTAATATTTTCGCTCCCACTCTTTTCGCTTTATTCATATCTATCTATCTATCTATCTATCTATCTATCTATCTATCTATTTAGCTATCTATGTGAGTGTGTGTGTATATATATATATATATATATATATATATATATATATGTGTGTGTGTATAAATATATCCATATATCTATTCATATATATATATATATATGTGTGTGTGTGTATAAATATATCCATATCTATCTATTCACATATATATATGTATATATATGTGTGTGTGTGTTTTATATCCATATCTATCTCTATTCAGATATATATATATATATTCATATCTATCTATCTATCTATCTATCTCTATTCAGATATATATATATATTCATATCTATCTATCTATCTATCTATCTATCTATCTATCTATCTATGTCATCATGTATAGGATTGGTGTATATGGAATAAATTCCAATCACCCAAAAATACTATTCTTAAAAGAGTGTTCAATACAGAGTAGAGCAAATATAATTATTTATTCGAAAATTATAGCATAAATATGTTATAAAATCACTACAAAAATAGCCATTTTGTTTCAATACTTCTGGAATCTATCTATATACATATCTGTCTATCTATCTCTATTCATATATATATATATATATATATATATACACACATGCATACATACATACATTATATATATATATATATATATATATATATATATATATATATATATATATACACATATATATGTGTGAAAAGTGTATATAAATATAAATAAATATATATATGTATAATTATTTATATATTATATGCATGGTACTTATTAGAAAAGAGTTTGTCTGACGATCGCTAAAGCGTGAAACCCAGGATCACAAACTCACATCTATCCAACCATATATATATATATATATATATATATATATATATATATATATATATATATGTGTGTGTGTGTGTCTGTCTGTCTATCTATCTATCTTCATATATATATATATATATATATATATATATATATATATATATATATATATATGTATATGTCTCTACCCATATCTATCTATCTATCGTTAAATTTCTCAGAATAATAACAATTTGAATAAAAAGAAGACAACTGGAAAATTTATTTCTTATATTTTCCAATTGTTTTCTTTTTATCCAAATTATCTGATCATCAGAACTTTTCTGAGAATTTTAACAATATGTCGACATGGAAAAATAAAACAAATTCTTAGTAAAAAATGAAAAGTTACAAACATCAAGGAGGCTTACACAGGGGCGTTAACCTTTATATTTTAAATTTAATATAACTAAACAATATTTCGCTTTTAAACTTGCTTTGATAAAGTCGGATTGAAGAAACGCGTCGGCAATGACAAACATATATTTTCCAATTTTCTTCTTTTTAATCTATCTATCTATCTATCTATCTATCTATCTATCTATCCTTATAAACAGCGACTCTTACCTCTTACTCTTTCTGCACACACAATAACTTCTTCCAGTAACCCTCTACCTCGAGTGGCTCTTGAGTCTTTTATAGTGAACATTTAGTAAAAACATAATTCTTACTTATTTAAGGAGTCAAAAATTACTCGCCAGCAGTTAGTCTTTCAGACAATGACTAAGGAATATATCAAGTTTTTTTTTTTTTTTTTTCAGGTGCGTAACTAATAGTTTTAGAATGATCGTCATCATTCAGAGACATAGACAAAATTGCATGCATGAAGTTAAGGAGCAATAATATATAAAAATATTCAGTAAAAGAAAACAGTTTTTTTTGTTTCTTTTTTTTAAAGTATCGAACATCGTCGATTACTCAGATCAATATAGAACAGTTTTATCGAGAGTTTAAAAATAAAAAAAAACTCCATCTATTGCTATTAATGTTGATATCGCAAAACGTCTTGGAATAATTCTGAAAACAGATTCGATATCAATGTACTTAATTTGTTCTAGTACAAAATCATTTACTTAGGTAGCAGGCAAAAATTATTTTTTTTTGTTGCTGCCCATTGTAACTAACATAAGACATAGACACTCCAATCATGTGCATGCACATAATACAAAATTTTGACATACTAACGCAATTCTGAATCAGTCAGTTAAGTGCCATGCGTGATACACGCTTAGGCGGTCATATATCTTTCGGTACATTTCTGACGAGGCAGATTTATTTCCCGCAGTAGGTTGACATTTCTTTCTGCGGTAGACCAGTTGCCATCCAGGGCTATAGAACCTAGTCTGCCCTGCTATTTACCCATAGCTGGGGGAGAAGAAGAGGATTCATACCTTGCCCCAAGGGTATTAGCACGTAAGTGAATGTAATGAATTCGAGTGGAATTCGAACTCTGCTCTCCGATTCCTCAACCTGAGCCGCTATCCATTACTCCACCGTGTCTCCTTTATTCCGAATACTGATTCGGAATCAGCGTACTCGATTTAGTCAGAAATATACGCTTTTATCCCCATACTCTTTTACCTCAGTATCAAAATCTTTTGTTGACTGATGTAATTAATTAGATTTCAGTCAGTTAAGTGCCATATCTGATACATACTTGGGCGATCATGTCTCTTTCGTGTCATGACTGAGTAAACAGAAGATTTTCCCGTGGTAGGTTGACATTTCATTCTGCGGTAGACTGGTTACCAACCAAGACACTAGGACCCAGTCTGTCTTGTTATTCAATCCATAACTGAGAGAAGAGATTGATTCAAGGGTATTTGCATATAAGTGAATGTAACGAACCTGGCTCAACTATATCCATTACATCACAAGGCACTCAGAGCCAAATTGTAGAAAATAGAATTTGGAAGATTGTAATACACAAATCTGCAAAGTAAGGAGGGCCGGGCTAACAGAGCCTAAAAGCGGCATTTTTAATCTTGGCTTTTATCTCCGCTTGAATTTGAACCATTAACCCCTATTACGCGTGCTTGTTGGGGTTTGGCGGATAATAGGCAACAATCCCAGCCATAACGCAGGCCCGCTGTCTTGATTTTATCCCATTTTTAGAACTCCCCCGCTGTCCAAAATTACTTAGTAGGCAAAACTCGAAAGCCATTCACAGTGAATGAGTTTGTTTCTATGTAGTTCATAAAAGACAGCGTGAACGAGATGCTGAGAAGAAATTAGGCAAATTGACCATAACTTATTACTTATCTTAATAAATAATTTTCTCTGTTTACTTTAAAGTATTCCACTTGACAGCTGTTTGCATGCTGAGTAACAAAACATACTACTCACAAAGAGTAGCGGTAAAAGTCCGTACTACCTTCCGTTTGCGCGCTCATTGGTCAGATATCCTGAACTTTGTATGCATATCTTCAGTTGGATTTTTATAATACTTTTGCTAAGTCGAAACGAAGCAAAGGGCGTAGCTTTTTAAGTGGAGTGCACATGCTACACTTTGATCGTAATTAAAGAAAACTTAAAGGTGTCGCCAGGGATGAAACACCTTAAACACAACTGAACTGTACTCAAATCCATTGTTCGATCTCCACAAACGTTCGGCAATAGTCAATGAATGTTAATGGGTCTCTTTTTTCCGCGTGACAGAATTATGTGACATATTTCTGCTTCGTACATACATTTATATCAAAGGTCTGCCGCTCAGATATCTGTAACCTGAGATAATATGGGTTACTTGTTTTGAAAACTCAAAACTCTGTCGTCATCTAACCAACATCTGCTTCGATAGTATAATAAAATAGCAGGCATTACATTCGAGGCTAGCCTGGTGTGTGTGTGCGTGTGTGTGTGTGAGAGTGTGTGTGTGTGTATGTGTGTGTGCATATCTGTGGATGCAAAACTTTCATATATATATATATATATATATATATATATATATATATATATATATGAGATAACGATATATATTTTATATATATCAAGAACAGTATTGGGGAAAAATATATGACAATAATTTAAAAGTTAAAGGAGGAATTTACTTTTTACGCTTGTAATAATTGTCACAAAAATACTTAGGAGAAACCTCAAGGAATCTAAATAAAAGATTATATGAACAGAAAAGGGACATTTTACCAAATAATACATCAAATGCGTTGGTTACCCACCGTAACGAGACTGACCACAAATTTTACATAAAAATGCTGCTCTGGTCAAACGAGAAAATAATTCACAACGACGAAAATGTCTAGAGAGTGCCTTGATCGCAAGGTCATCCACAGTAAATCTGCGTTCTGGTACTTGCAACATTTCACCACTCCTGGCAGAACTTCTATTATGACAGTGGGGGACATCTACTAACAAAAAGGATGGAAAAAATCTAAATGAAATCGGCTAGATTAAAAAGAAAAAAAAGTAATAAAATTCTCAGCATCTCTCGCTCGTGCGCATGTGTAGTCGCACCAAAATAACAAATTTAATCCGATGAAGTCCTAAAAACGAAACGCGGCACAAGAAAACTTTTTCCGCTTTGTCATACATTTTCACTATATGTCTCCGAAAAAAAATTATTTCGGTTGAGCTCTCGGAGAGAAAAGTGAATTTGTAAACAGTGACTATTACTGTTGCTGATGCAAGACTCTTCATTAAGACGGGTCGAGTTCTCCAGTAACTGGCGTGTTTATCTAAAAATAAATACGTCTAAATTCACCTTCATCCCTGCTGTGCGCCAATGGCTTAGGGGTAGAGTCTTCGACTGATACCAAATTCCAGTTTGGGGATGTCTAACCACACTGATGAACTGTAAAACAGCGAAACAGTCTGTGGATGATATATATATATATATATATATATATATATATATATATATATATATATATAATGAGATTAGCCGTTTGTTTATAAGAATACATCTGGCATCCACTGATCAAACTTTGTTACTCTCGGTTGAAATTTATAAGATCAAAACTCGGTACTTGTGGCTTATGTGTTGTCACTTTTTAATTTACGTTTTGGTGATCTTTTATAAAGTTAGATGTGACATTTAAAATATTTTGTTCTTTATTAGACTTTTAAATGAATCTTTGGGATACTATATTTTTACATATGTCTTTGGGAAAAAGTTGGAAAACTAATTTAAAAAGTGGCGACAGATAACACGCAAAGTACTAAAATCTTTCATTTAAAACAGATTCTCAGGAAAATAAGTTTCTCTCTTATCGCTCTTTCAACTTTGAAGTAACATGGCACGTCAACATCTTTATTATCTTTATTAAATCATTATTTTCGCTTCTAGTTACAAGTGCTATCCATTTTAGTTGTCACTGCCGTTGGATGTCTGAAAATAATTTGTTTCCTGTTATTTGGTAAAGTTCTTTCTTTCTGATTCTGTAGCGCCAGTCTATGGGGTCTGATTCTGATGAAAGACAGTCTTCTTTAAAATCTACAGGGTTTATTCGTTCGAAGCCATTTTCAATCATTGAACTGAGAAAACAGTTGTATATCCATGACTGTTTAGACAATTCTGAACGAGTTGAACATTATGCATGACAGCTCATCAAGACGAGGTTTTCATATGGTTATTTAAGAATATGATTCGAGTTTTCAGGTCAATTGTATGGTTTTGTGGCATCTTACTATGTTGGATATAAACGTATAGGTATAAGGAGAAACAAAAAGAGAGAAATAATACGATAAAGCAAAAAGGTAAACTTATAACCTGAGGAAGATGCAGACCCCATTAAAGAAATAATAAAAAGGCTTATAAAAAAAATGGATAAATCGAAGATAAACCTATATATATAATATATATATATATATATATATATATATATATATATATATATATATATATATATATATAATGTGGGTGGTAAATACCCGTTTTGGGGCAATTATGAATCGGTGCTGACGAACGTTATAAAAGGGAAAAAGAAGGAGTCGTGGGCAGCCCGTTTTTATTGACAATTGTCAGAGTGCTTTTGAATAGGCCAATCGTTTCTTGTTCGAGGAAAGGCCTAAAAGGCGACAACTGGGAAGGTCAGGTGGTCTGTCTAGATAATTTAGCCGTGTATTTATCTTGAAACGTGATGTTACGCACTCAAACACGCAGGGGCGTAAACACACAGATAGATAGATAGAGAGATCCCAACGTAAATACAGAGTAGCCCAAAGTAATATCTGCAGATGATAGCGTAAATATCAAAATCATGAACAATGGTTTCGGTAATCGGCTTAAAACCGGAGTCCCTTCCTACAAACAACATCAATAAGTCTTTAACGAAGTGATGAAAAAAGTACTTATTTCATATAACACTTATTTATTTTTTCAGCATAATCTCCTTCTTTGTCAATGCTCTTAATTCAGTAGTGAATATCAGTCATATAAGTTTATATTATACAATGGAAAGTTCAGATCAGAATTTCGTTGATAACTACGTATCTCATTACGAACTTTTTAATGTAACCTTATATCTCAAACCTCCTGACGAGTGGACCGAACGATTACAAAAATGTCTGTCTACGAAACTCTTGGACCAAAGTGTTAAATATAATATCGATCTGCTAAGCAATTTTCCTTTTATATAGTGCTGGTT